TATAAATCATTCATTAAGGCTCTCAACCGTTTTAATATATTTAATAAAGAACTGATATATTCTGGTAATCATAATTGGACCCATCTGAAATATTTTTTGGTAGAATTCTTGCATAATATAACAGTACATAAAGATACATTCTACAATGTTTATTTAAATTTAAAGTTTAAAAGAAATTTTAAAAAATAACTTATATTATCAGTTTTTTATGCTTTTTGTTTTATGGAGTAAATTGATTTGGCAAGTGAGTGGCTCATGTAATGGTATAGTGTTCAGAATAAAGTTTACTTTGACACATTTTCATTTAAAAAACAAAATTGTCATTTTGATTATCTTTATTACTTTGATACTGTTAAATGCTATTTGAGGAAAGGTCAATAAATTATATCTTATTTTAATTTACGATCATGATATCTCGAAATACTTAAATATATGGTTTGATATAAATATCAAATTAATCTCAATTTCTTATTAAGGAATATAACGAAACCACATTTATTATATAATTTAGTCTACAGAAAACTGGTGTGTATATAAAAAGAATTGTAGATAAATTGTCTGGGATATTTAAGTTGAAGCAAAATAGATAAATACATTATTATAGAACAAATTAGGTGATAACCTAAATATTTCAATATCCTGCTCTTTACAAAAAGATTTAATCTAAATTCACAAATTATATAGGTTTTATAAAAACTGTTTTTATCAAATTTTTAAATCATATTTACTTCGTGTGAGAACGGACTGATTATCTCTGTTTATTTTTCCCATAAAATCATACTAATCGTTACATAAGGATCTGTTAAACAAGTTTCGACTACTAAAAAATCATTATCGTGAATGAAATTCTGAAAATCTCAGGTAGTTGAAACACATTTAGCCGACCCTTATGACTCTTAATATTCTTTAAATTAAGTAATACGACCTAAAACTTAAGAGTTTAGTCTTTTCAGTATTTTGAGGAGCCAACTCTTCCTTGTACTAAATCAATCATAAGCTGCTATTATTGTTTTTCTTATTCGTGTTTTCGTACTAATTCAATGTATTTTGGCAATGATTTATGGGTGATATTGATATGAGTTCTGAATTAGAGGTTTGGATCTCTGAAATTTTATACTCCCCAGACAATGAAAAATATCAAAGGAACCACTAAATAAACTAAACTTTAAAACTTATAGAAGCAAGTCATGCTTAAATTTTAAATAGTCAAAAATGGTCTGTAACAGTAAGTACTCTGTTCTTGCTAATCTTCAGTAATTTTTGTACAGTACTGTCATTGTTCAATTAAATTTGAAAAGAATGTTTAATTTGTTTGTGTTTTATAGCTTTAGTTAAAGGTAGTTAATGCCAATCAACAGTCTTCTGCTTTATTTGTACATCACAGATTTAAAAATAACATATTTTATTTCTTAATGAAGCATTTTTTAGATTGTTTTCAAAGCTAAAAGGAAGTAATTTATTATTTTAATTTATTAACCTATATAAATCGGAATGTAGAATATGCTGATAATGACATTATTTACTCTGGTTGAAAGTGCAGACATTGATTTATGTTCAGATTTTGATCCAGAGAAAAACATTTAACATGAAAAAAACAATATGACAAATGATATCAAGTTGATAAATATTCAAATTGGTATGGGATTTATAATTATTTTTCCTATTATTATTTAAGGATTTGAGCTGGTATTTCACTTTTATTTCCATATATTCAGTGCAGTTTTTGGTTTGTTTTAGTTAAGTTTTCCTATACTAAAGCGACATCTTTTTAATAAATCATATGCTCCACATTTTTATTGATACAGTAGAGTCTTAAAAACTCGGCACTTGATAACCCGGCAGTCCGGATAACTCAGCCACACCCTGGCAGGGCAAAATAATCCTTAGTTAATTCATTTTCATTATAGACAGCTTTATGCCTCATAAAGTATTTTTCTGAGATCTGTCTTATCAGGTAAATTACTATACACAGTGTATTCATTAATTTTCATTTTCATGTAGTAAAGGCTCTATGCCTTCATAAAGGANCGGAAATGGCGTCACTTGCCAAGTGACGTTCCAGGATATTCTAGAAGGATTCCGAGAATAATTTGGAACGGTGGAGGAAAGTTCTGGATCGTTACGAGGAATGGAGGTCGCAATGACGTCACAATTAGGTAAAGCGGCCAAACCATCTCCCGATGGAATAAATTGCGTTCGAATATTCGAAATTACTTTAATAAGTAGTTTTCGTCCGGTTTCTAATCAATAGCAATTAAAAATTTGGGACGTTATTAGGTCGGGCCTCCTCAAGCTATCAACCTGTAGACGTTCCGCGCCCCCTGCAATTTCTCGCCTCCGGGCCCAAAGATAAAAATATAGCGTTACGTCGAATATTTCTGAAACGTGCAAGACGTGAAGACTTTTGGGAATTAAACCGCGACGTCATCGATTTCGCCCAATTTTCGAGAATTTTTGACGACGCAATACACAAAGGAATGCTAAAACAAATACGGTTAACGGACTCCTAAATAGTTTTCTGGCGTTATTAAAAAAAAAAAAAAAAAAAAGTTACAACGCGACAAATAACATTTTTACTAATTAAATTATCGACTTTTTGTTGAGAATTTGGATAGAAATAGCTCCGTTAATATTTCTCTTATTTTTTGTCATCGTCTTTCCTCACAATGCAGAGTTGTTAAAACGGGATTAAATCGGTGACGTGCCGAAAATCCTTTAAATTCATAGTTAAATTAACAATGTAATAATCGCTCCGGAAAAAAGGCGATTCCCGACGGAATTCGCCGACATTTGTCGACATTTTAATATTGAAGAAGAAAGAAAATAAAAAAACTGCAGGTGTTACCATTCGATTTCTGGCGACGTTCATAGACAGCTTTTGTCAATGAATAAAAAAAATGGCGTCCCAGCAATTTTTATTTGTAAAAGTTCCTTTAACGTTTCTGTCAAAATCGAGCTCGTTTATTACGCTCGACACACGAAAGGATAGCGAAGACGACGATTAATTCACGGAAGATTATCATCATTCGAGTGAGAGAGAGAGAGACTTGTCTGATTCTCTTCCTCTCAATGTCGGAAGATTCTTTTCGGAAACGACGAGGTTCTTGCGAGTGGCGAAATCTCGTGCAAGTCGAATATAAAACGGAAAGAGAGATTGGTTTAGTCCGCTCGACGTAAATTCGGATCGTTCCTCTACCTCGATTTATTTATTTTAATGGAAGAGCGGACTTCTCTGCCGGGAGTTGAGACGAAGATTAGGAGGCGGGGTTAAGGAGGATTCGAACTTTCTCGTTTCTTCCATTTTTCCGTCTTTTAGTCGGAATTTTGGAGGGAAGTCAGACTTATTCCTCTCCCCGTTTGAGAAGCCATCTTCCTCCTCTCTTTCCTCCGTCTTCCCGTCGTCACTCCTTTGTTTCTGGCTCGAATGGGGAATTCTACCTCGATTCCGGCGGAATTTTTCGCTTTTCCAGCATCGGGAAGCGGATTCCGCCTCGATTACTTTTGATTTTTACGATTCGTACCGCGTTTTGTCGCTTCACGCATTAATAGGAACGTGGGAAATTAAAGGGGGACGGGACGAAGATTCCAGAGTTCGGAACGATCGTCCGTTTGATTCCATCCTCTGGGTAATTTGGAGGGTGAACGAAGAGACGAAGGCGAAAGGTGGCGAACGTTCGGAACTGAAATTCGATTGGAATGTCTCCCCCGCGAATCGAGCCTCCTCTTCGCGCGCGAAGAAGCGGCGGACGCGACTTTCCCGAAAGAGGGTCGCGGACCCGGAGGCCGACGAATGTGGAACGCGCTCTAAATATAGAACGGGACGGTTTAAGAACCTCGGGTGAAGTCTCGCGGAATCTCGCGGAGAACGAGACGGGGCGGAGAAAAACGTGGTCCGGACGGATGGCAACGCGGACGATTCAGAGTAGCTGGGATGGCTGCAGGGATCGGGTCGCGCCTGACAGGCGCAGCGCGCGGGCTGCTGCGCGGACTACCCGGCTCCGAAGTCCCCCCTCGGCCGGCTCCGTGGATGCGACGCGCGTCTTTTCACACTCAGGTAGGTCCTTCTCTCTCTCTCTCTCTCTCTCTCTCTCTCTCTTCGCGTCACTTCCGTTTCCGGACCGGAAGTGGCTGGCGCGGGTACGAATTCTCCACGAGCCGCGCCGGACTGGCCGAAATGGTCGAGACTTTTGACGCGTGATGGCCGACGGAAGGGGTTCTTCTTCCGCTTCCGGGTCTTCGGCGGCTTTCGCCGTCCGTCGCCCCCGCTGTGGAGCGAATCGGCGGAAGTAGGTTACGGTTAAGTCTCGTCCCGTTTACCCGGCCGGGACGACGCCCGGGGGCGTCTCTTCCCCGTTCCGGGACGTTTCCTCGTTCGCTTCAAGGCCACTCGGGGTCGCCGACCCGGACCGTCCTTTAAAGGTCGCTTCCGGCCGAGCGCGGCGCTCGGGGTCCGAACCTCCCTCTTTCCTATCTTTCTGTCTCTCCTCCTCCCATCCGTAATTTCCGGCTAATTCCGTCCCCCCTCGGAAATATTGTCCGGAAAGTGTAAACATGAATTAACTTTAGTACCCTCGAAACAAATTTCCCGCGTTAGATACCGATGTTTTGGCACGTGGGATGACGTCGGAATATCTAGCTCCTACGTCACTTCTCGTCCCGGATGACGGTAGTCGGTTCGGTTTTAGCGCTTAAGATAGAATTTAATTTCTGAATTAAATTTATTCTTCGTAACTCTTCCTTATATCCGGGCCTTTTTTTGTAATTATTTAAGCGAAACTCCCCGCTTTAGTGTTGTTTCTTCCGTCGTAAGAATACGTGCAAACCGCGCGAGAACGATATTATCTGCAGAAAATTCGTTATAACGGAGAGAAAAGGAAAACGAAGAGGATCGCTCCTTCGGGGAGCGGGCGTTCGAATCGCTTCCGGGTTTCGTCCTCCAACGGTTTTTCCCGGTCGAGTAGCTTTTCGCCCCCTGCTTCGAGAGCGAAACGAGAGTGTAACGCGATTTACGTGACGGATCTAATGACGTGGAAGTTCGCCGACGTGGACTTATTTGGGAGAGACTTTCAAAGGCGGAACGGAAAAGAGAACGGAATAAACACCGGAAACTCGGTCTTAAGTGGGGTCAGCGCACGCGCCATCCCACGAAAACGTATCGGTACGAACCCGTTCGGATCTCTCGAATCTCGAAAAAAAACCCGTTACGAAACGGATTCGATGACGTAACGGAACGTCACCCTGACTTGAACGTAACGAACAATCGGCTGCTAGCCGCGAACTCGTAGGTTGGGGATTTTGCACCCCCAGTCATACGAAAATAATGGGGCGTCGAGGGGTTTCCCCGAGATACGCCCACGCCGAATTAAAGTACCCGAGCAAAGACCTTTATGGTTGAGAACCGGGAGCTTACGTCACCGTAACAAAAGACCGGTTACGTTGTCGAGGTCAAGGTCGTATCCGAGTAATTTTTCACGCGATTAAAAACAAGCGGATGTGTGTTTAGATCTCTCTTCAAACGAAGTTTCCGCCAAATTTTCGTCGTCGCGCATTTCTCAGATTTTTGGGTAACAATACGTAGAAAATCCTCCATTTTTCCTCAGTTGTTTTACTCTTCCGAAATTATCTTAGTTTTCGACAATTTCTCGCGCGAAGTTCCCTCGTGCAAATGTGTCGCGCTTTCGTCGGGAGGATCCGGGTTCGATTACCTTCAGGAGATTACGCCGTCAGGGAAGATGATTCCACCATTGATGGCGCAAGAGATTGTGGGACACGAAGCATGGATAAAGGGGAATCTCCCACTTTTGCTTCGGACCGAAAGAGAACGGAAATACGTCACGAGCAACAATTGGCTGCACCGAGTTGATTTTCCATTCTCTTGTAGTAAGAATCGGATTTAATTCCGTAGACGCCAATCGAGGAATTCGGGTTCGAGTCCGGGTCGGCTGCGAAATTTTCGTGAGTAATCGGTACTCGGTCACTCGTTGTGGATCCAGCCGAACCCGCGACGGGCATGCTAAAAAGAGTAGTCGGTGCCTCGGGGCGAAAAGAGTTGATTTAAAAATTGGCCTTAACCCATAATGCCGCCCATAACGAGGCAAATAGTACAGTAAAGCGAAAAGTCATCCCTATATGTAACGCGTTGTTTGTACACAGAAATGGCACTACAGTTTGGAGAAATTTTCACGCCAAATCAGAGACGAGGGGGCGTTTATGGGAGCGTGCATTTTATGCGACAGACCCCAATTCTGCTTCTGATAGAACGGCTATCCGGACGGAAAGTGTACCAGACCACTGGGGAGAGAACAAAATCCTGAATCGGATCGTTCGGATAGTCATAATCGGATAGTCATAATCAATCTCTACGTCACGAGGCATCGCGCACGATCAACGCCAGGCTCGCGTCGTAAAGAAGGTCTCAGACACTCTTTCTCTAGGGGTTACGGTACGTGACCCCCCAGAGAAAAAGGAATTTCTTCACCCACCTCCGACTAGCGATTCTAATTTAGTTTCGGTAGAGGGTCAAGGGAAGGGTGAACAATAATCGTCTTCTATTATAATTTCAGGAAGACGGAATCAATCGGCAGAGACGGCGGACGGATACGGGACCCAGCGTGTCTGTCAGGAGAAGATTGAGCGCTTCAACGCGCAGATGGCAATCCCCCGTCATCCAACTTCCCGGAACTCTGGCAGATCCTCCCGTGGAACCCTTCAAACTTGTTGAAGACGAACTGCACTCGCTCTACGCGGACATCAGAACGGTTAGTGTCCTCCTTTCTGCTTTCTGATTCCACTCGCTCTCGCTAACTGCAACTAGCGCTAATGTCGCCCAAGTAGCCACGCGCCGGTCGTCATCGACGCGTCGCAAAGCATCTTCGAATCCTCGTTGCATCCCGGCCCTATCAGAGAGGCCTGTAGGCCCACTCGAACCGCGCCTCCCCCCTTATGCGGCTTTAAAAACACGCTACAAATGATTCGTTCTGTTTGAAATCGTGGAGCATTTTTCTGGTGAATCAGGATAAAGCTATTATAAATTATTGCTATTTCACATTTTTCCCGGAAGAGTGACTTTATGTTGACATTATTGAAGGGGTTCTGACTGTTCACTGTATTTTTCATTAATTTAAAGATGTAAACCGAAGTGTAGAGAATCCCTCTTGTGGGGGAGCGAACCCATAAAGAGCTTACTAAAAGAGGCCATATTTTAGCAAGCCCTTTATGGGTTCGGCCGGGCCCAAAATGGGGTGAGGGACCACCCCGAAGAATTCCTCTCGGATTCGATCCCGATTCCCCAGAGCGGTAGTTTGCCACCTTCACCGCTCGCCTGTCCTTGCGACTGGTACGATTCGTTCTTACTATTTGAACTCGGAAACTACTTCTATATTCGATAAACCAGCTACGAAACATGAGGTTAATCGGCATTTTGTTCGTTTAATCCGGACATTTTTAAATCGATTTGTTTTTTTACAAGAGTTATCATCGAATAACCGGTTATTCTGGATCGAAGCGCAAATATGAAAAGAGTTTTCGATAATTTCGCCTGCGACGTAAAATAAATACAATAAATAAACTTATTCATTATTAAGTAAAAATGTTTAACTTCGAACTTCACCCGATTAGAACGAATAATTTAAATTTTAATTTAAAAAAAAATAAAAAATAAAAAAAAAGAAGGTAAACCTAGGTTGGCAACGTTAGGTGGCTAAGCTCGGCCGTGACGTCACGTTTGTTTTGCTGATGAGAATGGAAGGCGACAACGAGCGGCAAAAATCGCGTGCGATATTGCGCGAAAAGTTTCTGAGAACTTTGGCTTCTTTGTCCGGTTACCGAGCGGAATTCGAAATGTTCGAAAGTACGTCGGTGGAAGGAACATTTAAGGCCACGGACGTCGACGTATTGCATTTTTACGTCACCCAATTGTCCACTCCGATCGGCGTGTTGAACGACGCCCTGCTGAGAACGGGAGACGTGGTCGCTGTAACGTTCAAGTTGGACGACGACTCCGATGCCGGTAGACCGTAATGGAGAATTATTCGAAGGAAAATCACCCGAATTAGTCGATTTCCGACTTTTCTCTCGTGCGAATCGGAAGAGACGAATATACGTCGTTAGCACCTGTCACGTGGCCTGCCATGTAGCACGATGTAAGTCCGAATGTCTCCTCAATTTACTTCTGTTGTTGTACGGGGAATAAATTTCCGATATGGTTTTTTTTTTGTTCGAAAATTATGCGACCCGTTAAAGTACCTTTACCTGTTTTGATGTAATGACAAAAAAAACCAAAATTGCTAACGTGTTTTGGTGCAAATTTCCTCGTTGTTTGGAATGTGGTTCTATGACTATCTTACAATACTGATGATCCAGTTGATGTGTTGTATAGGAAAGGGCTAAAAATAAATACTTTTTATGTTTGTTTATTTCTCTGGTTTACTTGTCACTCTTTGTTCCGAGAAATGTGATCAGTCGGTTACGGTGTTTTAAAAATCTTTGAAGGGCATGTACTACCACAAAAGGGCTTCAGAGACATCACTCAACGTCTTTGAAGCCCTTTTGTGTTACATGGTACGGATGGAACTTCAAACGAGGTGGTCATAGACCGTGCCCATAGGAGTGAAAAAGTCAAAGAAACCGATTGTGTATGTATGATCCTTCATGAGATGTGATTCCCCAAAATTAGCTTCGTTAAACACGATACGCTTAATGGAGCATGCAACGTGACTCCGGTCGCACCCCGGTAGTAGTTGGTGCGGAGGCATTTCTCGTGTTTTACGAGCTTTTAGTTGTCTCTAGTAAAGTGGAAGACTGTTGATTTTTAGCATTATTTTGAGAAATATTTTCAAATTTTTTTTATTTTAAATTTTACGGCGGTTTTGAAGATCTTTGAAATTCCAGTTACGCCAATTTCGGGGTGCCACATTTCACAGAGGGTCAGATGTAGACCATTGGTTCCTTCAACTTTTTTTATGTCTACGTGCATTTTTTATGGCTCCAATAAGGTCCTGATTGCTTTGCCCGATTAGCTACTGTTGAAATTTTGGTTACTTGATATTCACAGAAACTGTCCAGAATCAAGTTTGTTGAGCTGCATTTATAATACATTTGTTATGATTAAAAAAGTTTCAAATAGGGCTCTATTTTGCAAAGATGTGACATTTAATTTTATAATTAGGATGCAATACACATGTAAAGTAAGATAATGTTATAATATACATTGAGTAATTTATACATGCCACTAAAGTATTTGTTAAAAATATAAAAATCAGTTTACAATAGAAGCCAATTAATTAAACTTGTCAAAAACTATACAATGTCTATCCATCATCCAGAGACAGAAGCATTCATTCATTAATCTTTATTATACAAAACAAAAGTACAATGCTCAGTACTGCTTGAGCACAACCAAGGTAAACTAGATATAATGTGTTTTCACAGTAAAGCAGTTGCATGTAATTACTCAATGAAAGAAAAGTAAACAAGAAATAAAATAAGACAAAACAAAAAAGAATACTATGTATAGGGGTGCAGCTACTTGATGCCAAGCCAGAATAATATACCTGTATTCTTGACAGGTATAGACAGGCTTATTCTGCATACATGATGATTACTATTTCTTCTGCCGTTAACACTTCTTCATTGTCAGCTTTGTTTGCGATGGTGCTGTGACTGAAGTGTGGACTGCTATAGACTGGCAGTGTATCATCATTAGTGGAAAATCATAGTTTTGTTTGGGAACAGGCATCTACTGTGTTAGTGTGCTGCTCAGTGGTAAAAGCAGAAATAAGGCACTCATTGGTGGTTCTCCACACACAACCTTACTGCTGGCATCTCATGATGATCGGTCACCCCTAGTAGTGACGAGGGACGAAGTTGACTTCAAGAGATCACATGCCCTAGTGATGCATTTTGTGACAGAGCTGCAAATAGCCATTTTCTAGCAAGGTTGTCCTTGGCAAAGGTTTCCTCAGAATGTCTCACATTGTCAACTTCCTTGGAATCCCGTCTTTAGTCATTGATTAGTGTGAGTGATATGGAGCAGCAATTATGTCTGTGGAAAAATCTGTCTCAGGATATCACATCCCTCTGTGCTCGACAGTATTGTTGCATGTATTCAAGCAAGATTACTAAAGGTTGCTTTAAATTCTACTTGTCATTCCACACAAATCCCTTTGCTGTAATATTGTAGTAACTACCATAGACATTATGTTTGCACTAGTAAAGTTTTGTTCAATTCCAACATCACCTAGGTTCATAAATTTTTGTCAGTAAGATTGTATATATATGTCAGATATCTATACATACAGATAAAAAAGTTATGCACCCAAAAAGGATAAAATTTTTTTTAATTCAAATAATTCAAGTTCCTTGTCAAATTGTTTAATTTAATTAGGTAATTATAAAAATAACCAAAGTAAAAATAAATGTAGATCATTTAAAGGTATTTTCCTTGTATCAGTTTAATTATTGAATTCTTAATTAAATCAAAGAATTTCATTGAGTGAAATGTGTACAGGATATTAACAAAGCATCTTCATTTTCTGACATTGATTATGTAAAAAAAAATAACATTTATTTTTAACAATAACAATATTTCTACTTAGCGTTAGGTCCCGTTTCCCTATATTTGAGATAACACAAGATTATACAATGACTATTAAAAAAAAGCAATCAAATTATTTTAATTTCTGAATATTAAAAGAAATTGAAAATAACTTAGTAATAATAATAATAATAATCTATAATATACAATGGACAGATATCTAAAGTGGTAAAGGTGTCAACCTGTTACTCTGGGAATCTGGGTTTATGGATTAGATCCCGACATTTTCATGGACAGTTTCACCAGATTAGCCAGACCCCGTTCCTGGCCAAATCAATGACAGTCATGTATAAAGGTCCCATATTTATCTATTTAAACAATTTTTTATGAAATACTCATTTCCTAGTTTTAGGGAAGATGTGCATAAGTATATAAATAAATTCCTTGATATATAAATAAAATTGAGGCTAATAAAAATCACTTTTCGTCGCCCCATTTTTTTTGTAGTGCCTCTCGGATCTATGTTGCATTTTTTCAAAATTGAATTTTAGAGTTTAATTAATTAATTATTCTGATTGCTTACATTTTAGTGATTGTGTTTATATAAAATGTGTGTGATTACAACCTTAAATACATACAGGATTAGAATTTACTGCATATACATAGTCCAGTCTATTATCCTATTTTTTTTTTTTTTTAAGAGTATGCAGAGTTTAGTAANAAAAAATTGACAACGGAAAAATAAGAAAATAACTAAACAATAATATATACAAATACAAATATACAATAAAAAACAAAGTCAGATATAGCAATAGAAATAAAAAACAAAAATAAATGTAATAATACTTTAAATAAACATTGAAATGAATTGTTAATCGGAACAAATCTTTAATATGCTTACATCAGTTTATATTGTGCTTAAAAGCACTTTTATATTATTCCAAAATTTTTTATGACTAATGAATGACTAATTATGCATTACCATGGGTGACAGATTTCAGTAGCGCCTCTTGCTAAAGGCGCCGTATTGACTAAGCTCGATTCAGTTGACAATAAAAAAATACTGTATAGTAAATTGTCAAAACAGAATTAATATCGCGGTGTTAAAGTGGCACAAAGCCGCCTTTTGCGGACATTACAACTTATTAAACGAGACACTATAAGTATGTCCAATCGATTATCTTTAATCCAGCAGGAAATTCATAAGGGGAATGAAAACGATTC